AACAAAATTAAGCTCAAATTCAGCCAATTTCTACCCAATCACCCCGTCTTCTATAAAACCACAAAATCTCAAAGACTTTCTTCAGTTCAAAATCATTTTCTGTGAAGGTAAACATCGTTATTTCCTATGCTAGTCTAATTTTTTTACAAATCATTCAATCACTCTAATGACGACCCATCCCCAGACTCATTCTCGTTCTCGTTCTCATTGTCGTCACGAAAATACTGCTGTTTGCATTCATTCTCAAATTGTCAACTTTTTCCGAAAATTATTCACCACCATCAGTAAAATATTTCTCTGAGAATTATGCTGCTGCTAGTCGACAGTCGTCTGGTTATAATCATATTCGAATGCTTCTAGAGGAAATAGCTAGGCAGCCTTGAGATTATACCGCTTTTAGACTCATTTAAGTCGTCGTCGTTCGCTTATTACTCTTTTTTTTGCTCTTGGCATTTATTCCGTTCTCGTTCTAGTGTGTTCACAAGCAATTTTACGCGTGTTACATCTTGCCCAAGCCTAAGCCTAACCTAACTCTGCGCATGATCTCAAAATTATTCCATCTCAGCCGATTATCCCATCCATCTGATCCCTTAAATCTGCTCAGCATAAATCAATAAATCACTGCACTCACTCATGGAAGATCAGCCTGATCCGCATGCCAAAGCCAGCAATCCTGACCCGCTCAGGATGTGTATCATTGGAGGCGGTGGTTATTTCGGTCAGCATATCGCCAGCGAACTGCAAAAACACGGTCAGCACCACACCGTTCTGCTCGACATTCAATTCGTGCGTCTCAACGTGCTCACACTAGACGAATCTAAAACCACCCGCATTAAGGTACCATTACTTTTTATTTACCTCAATCACGCAACTTAACTGCACTCTTAACTCGTACCCAATTCAATTCCAGTCACCCTTTTCAGTCGGTATCATTTCACCACCTTAAAATTATGTCAAGTCACGTAATCTCACTCCCTCTCTCGAAAAACAAAAATCAGCTTATAATTAGTCACGCAATCTTTAAAATAAGTAAAAGAGATGAATAAAAACCTTTAGGGATCACTATTGGATACGGACACGCTCGATGAGGCACTCAAGGGCTGTGATGCGTGCTTCCATATTGCTGCGTACGGCATGACCGGTGGTGCTTCGGTAAGTGAATCTATAATACGAAATGCATCATCCAATTAGTAAAAGCGAACCAACTCTATCCGAGAGCACAAGATCACAATGAATTGATCAATCGATAAATCGATCAATCGATATTTCTGAAGTGGTGACTAAACTA